ACCTCCACTCGATCGTTGAGGCAGTTCACACGCTCTTGCCGCAGATCATCAACGAATCGTTAAACCCCTTGCATCTCGAGGTCGATATCGTTGTGGTTTGGATGGGCAACGAACTGTGCGGTCGTAGAGGAGTCTTCGTCGACCCAGGGACGCCACACTGGCAGATTGGTCCTGAAGGCGTTGCCGCAGAAGGGATCTGAGCGGACATTGCCGCACGTGTGTGCGGTGAGATTGGCCGTCTAGCCGCCCTTCAGGGCAGGCCAACGGTGGGCTCAGTGCAAATCCTCTCGGATGCCGACCCACTGGACTACGGGCTGCCAGCAGAGTACCGCACAGCTATCCGAAAATTCCTCGGATACGCAAGGAGTAGGGGGTTATACACCGCCTCTCTCAAAGAAAGCGTATGCCAGATCCCGAAGCACGACCACTACCACTTCCGCGAAGACTCAACACATCGCGCAGCCTTGGCCTCTGTGATCGGACAGCGGATTAAAGTGTGTCAAGCTGACCACTTATTCGCGAAGATGCCCGCAGAGACGCTGGACGAGCTGGCCCGCCGTTTTCCTTTTGATCCAGAAGGAACGCGGGTATATTCCATGCAGTATGTCTTCGACAAGGCACTGTATCGGTCCCAGCTCTCCCGCCGCCTTTTAAGGCAGGCCGAGATTCGCGAAGCTGCGAACGAATGCCCTGATCCATGGGAATCCCCTTATGTTCCTCCACCTGATCTTCCGGTCACTGGAATGCGTGAGGTCCCTCAGGATGTCCTGAATTGGGAATGGGCCACAGCTCGCGAACAGGCGCAAAAGCGCGCGAAAGAGCAGGCGGAAGCACGTGCCCGTGCTGAGCGGAAGGATCCAGCCCCACTTATAGTGGTGGCCCATCTGGCAGTGCATCATCTCGCGACGTACCGGAGGTGTCCTTTGACGATGTCATCGAGGCCATTCCTTACCGCACAGAGTCTCACCGTACTCTGTCAGCGGCAAAAGAGGGCATGACCAAGAAGAACCGGGACCCTTCCAGCGGCCTATTAAGGGCTCGCCCACACGACTACATTGGGGTAAAGTACCAAGACGACTTGGACCTGATGGAAATGTGTGGCTTCGTTGACGAGGATGTGTGCCCAGAGGATCCGGAGGGGAGCGAGATCGTTCAGATCCTCCCCGACTCGATCCCGAAGGACCACCTCCCTGAGTTGGGCCTCAAACCTTACGTTGAGCGCTACCTCACAGGTGCTGTCCGAGGGTCGAACGTGAAGCTCAGCTCACGGCGCGGGAAATGGATTCGCATCCAAGAACTCATTCAGCATATGTGGAAGAAGCACCGTGTGGATCTGGGAACACGAGGTATCTTGTCCTTAGTCGCCTACGATAACAAATCGAGGTTCAACTTGGCAGGCCTCCCCACCGATCCGCGTGCTGACTTCATTGAGACGGACATTTGGCCCTCTTGGATTTGTGCTTCGCATGGTCACAGCGAACGCATCAAGGACCAAGTGACCGATGCCTCCATTGCGCTGCATTGGTTCACGAACGATACGCGAGAGGAGCTTGGACCTACAGCCGCCTATCAAGGCAGGCCATTCGTTGCTCTCGGGGAGTTTCCCCCGCGTCTCTACCACAGGACGACGCATGATGCAGCCTTCAATATTCTCTCTTCTGGCTTTACGCCAGGGTTCAACAGGAGCGGCAAGTTCCACAACTACTTCGCCAAAGCCACCCTGAGCGAACTTGAGAATAAAGCTGGCAGCCGAGCGAACCTGCCTTACGAAATTGTACTCGACACTCAGGAGGTCAACCGCTATGCGTACCTCTTCGAGACAACTTCCGAAGGCATACTCACTCGCGATCCGGTGCCGGGGACTTGTGTGCTATACATCCGCGACACCATCAAAGGCATCATCCTGTGGTCTCGTCAATCTAGCGAGGAGGAGGATACAATCATTCCGGAGACTGCCCAGGATCCCATCGTCGATCCTGGAGCAGCTGAGCCGGAGCAGTTCCCCGATGTTCCGGAGGAACCTTCAGCCCCACTTAGTGGTGGCCATGAAGAAGTTGAAGCAGCAGCGTCTGCAACGGCAGACGAACCCATGGTTGAAGTTGAGATTGAGGGGAGACCGTCAGCATCTTTGGCACCCCTCGCTCTCAACGACGCCACGGCCTCCGACTTTCTCCCAGAGGAAACGGCAACATTGGACCAGGGGGGAGCATCACCACCAGATGTGCAACCTGAGTCCAGAAAGCGTGTTCGTTTCCTTGAGCCGGAAGATCCCGTTGAGGTCGAGATCGAGATCGAGCCAGACGAAGGCGATGTGAAAAAGGAGGAAGAAGTCAAGGTTGAGCCGATGTACGAGCAAGCGCCTCCGCAGCCTACATCCACGCCTTTGGCACTCCCTCCAGCCCCCGTTACGGGTGGCCGCCACAGAGCTTGCCCCCACTGTGGGACGCAACACCTTGTGGGACAGATGATCTGTCTCAGCTGTGGCGTGCACATTGTGAAGCCTTCTCAACAGAGCGCTCGCAAAAAGGTGCGGACAGCCCGATGGTTCGCCGAACAAGCTGCAGCGGCCACGGCCGGTAAACCGCGATCCCAGCTCACTCCAGAGGAGGTCATCCACGAGATGACGAGGGATGCTACCACACAACGCGGGACTACCTCCTTGGACGCAGAAGCACTTGACAAGGCGCGGCAACAGCTGAAAATGGCAGTGAAAGGAGGATACACCAGCATCGTCCACCGGTTCGATAATGATGTCGATTACACCATGCACTCCATCGGCAATGGATTCGACCGGGAATTTCTCGCCATTGAGGATGTCCTCACTCATGCTGGTTTGCCAAACCACGGACGTTCCAAGGAGCAGAGGCAACTTGCTATCGGCACCTACGGCGGCGCAGACGGCCCTCGGAACCAGGAAATCGCAAGGTTGCTCTACCTGCACGAGTGCAATCCAGCCGCCCTTAGGGCAGGCCTGATTTCCGCTGTCAGTGACGATCCTTTCTGCATCATGTGGCTTGGAGGGGCATACAGTCTGCGTAAGTTCGTAGATGTTTTCCTTCAGCACAAAATCGTGCGAATGATCGTGACCTTCTCAGAGGAAGCACTCTACATTGATCCACGTCTCGGATATTCCGCCGACGAATGGGTCGAGTGGCTTCAATCGAAGTTTGCGGATCAGGTAGGAGTTGCACGCCGTGCGTATGAAGAGCGCCAGCGCAATGCCGAACGCTCTCGCATTGCACAAGCTAAGGCTGACGCACGCAGAGCCGAACAGCAGCGATACCAACAGGATTGGGACCAAGGCTATCAGCGCGGGTCCCACCCCTACGGTCGCTCCTCTGGTTCCCGAGGATGGTACTAAGTACCTGATCGACATTTCGTGGTTCCGTCACGTTAACCGGTACTCCGAAATACAGCCCCTCTTAGAGGTGGCCGAATTTCCTTAAGACCAGAAAAATTTCATGCTTCATTTCCTGGCAGTCACTTTGTGACAAATCCGAACAGTCAGCAGCTCCAGTGGATGATGTATTCGTCCCACGCTGCACACGTTCTTGCGACTCGTATCCACGCCAACATTCAAGGCTTGCTGGATCGTCGCCACTTTATAATGCATGTCGCGACTTTAAACTGCGCGCTAAAAGAATTAATCTGCTTCCGTATCTTCCGCTTTACGGTAGTAGAAACTCTATGAGCCCCAAGCCACAATCCAGCCGCCTTGATGGCAGGCCACACAGCACCAAGCTTCCGTGCATGTTTGCGCCTCAGACTGACGCTTCGGCGAGGGGGGTGTAATTTGTGCACGTGTGAAGTATCATGTTGTGTGTATGGCATTGTGGCACAAGTGCTCTGAGTGAAAAAGAGTAGATGCCCAATGGTATAACTGCGTTATTCCTCAACACTTGGACGGGTGTACAACAGTGCGTGTGTGCAGTGGTTTACAACAACTATAGGGGTTTGACGGTTGAGGGTTTAGCTTTTTAGGTTATGCGCGCCCGGCGTGTGCAGTTTACGCTTTTAGGTTTATTTTTTAGGGTTTTAGGCTGTTGGGGTTTGACGGTTTAGGGTTTGGCGTTTAGGGTGACGGTTACGCGTGCCAAGCACGTGCGGCCGGCGCGTGCGGTTTATGGGTCTAGGGTTTGTATTTTGTAGTTATAGTTTGTACTGGTATTAGCATTATCGGGTTTAGGGTTTTTCGGGTTTAGGGGTTCGCGTTTCACTGTTTCAGGGTTTAGGCTGTTCGGGTTTTACAGCTTAATATTGAGGGTTACGAGGGTCCGGCGTGGGTTATTAGGGTTTTGGGTTTGTAGTGAGTATCGCAAAAATAGTATTCGTATTCTAGGGTTGGGGATTTTTAGGGTTGTGGGTATTGATAGGTTCACAACCGCATGCCCGTGAACCGCATGTAGGAACAAGTGCTAGCGATCGAGCGGGCTCTCGGCTCGATCGCACTTTTCGACTTCCCCTTGCTGCTTGTGCCGTGTGCCTCCCGTCGATGGGTCATGGCTTCTCCTCGCGCCGACCCACTTTTTCGAGGCTTTGGGGGCTCGTCATGGCTCGTCGGGGGGCCGCCGCGCCGGCCTTTTTCGACCTCCACCCCTTCGGCATCTTCGCCTATGCAGGTGGAGCAGCCCGCCGTTGGTGGGATTGGGGATGAAGGCCTCACGTCGGGCTCACGAATATTGGGCGATTTACAAAGGTTTCGCCGCCGCCTGTGCTCCATCGTCTGACGAACCGTCAAGCGAGCGTCACCGCCCTCCCGGGCTGCTCTCGCTCAAGGCCCCGCCTGCGTGGGCACTGAGCGCGACAACAAACCTGCGGGCGGTAAGGCATTCCATGACGGGATGAGCGCCCAAGACGTTCATGAACCTCATGACGAGGCCCGCGTCAGACGGCTGCCCGCAAAATAACCAGCCCGCATGGTGGAGGAGTGGGCGCATCCACGTGGCTGAATGTCCTGGGTCTGGACAGGCTCGGCTGGAAAACCCCACACGGCCGCTCTGCTAACCAAGCTCGTCGAGCTGGACCGGGTGATCGGGGTCAAGGTGGCGACGCGAACGGCGACCTGCAGATGAGGCCTTCATGGGCCACTTTTTGGAGGACATTCGTCGATGGCGCAGGCGGATCCAGGCAGCAGAACGGACCACTGCGGTACGTTCCTTTCCATTTCGCTTCACGTTCTTTTCCCAATCCATCTCGGCTGCTCCGGGCAAGCCGCCAAGCCGCTGACTCCTGGCCCTCCGAAGGCTGGTATCGTCGGCCCGACCCTGCTGGCCGAGGCCTCTTCCCGGTGCTCTCGCCGACATACCCTGACGCACGCTTTGCTCGAGCCGGGCGAGTTCGTGCCCAGTCGGCACGTTGGACGTATGGCGTCATCAAACCGAGCACCTCGAATTTTTATTGTTTCTCGCCGGGCGTTCATCTACGTCCTCGAGAGTCTCGCCCAGGTGTTGCTGCTCGTCACCTTCGCCCGGCTGCTCCCGCCGCATTGACTGGCATTCATCGATAACGTCGCTGGCCAGTTCGCCGGGCTACAGCAAGGACCCGGCAATGAACGGCGCCTTGCCTCCGACAGTGCGCCCCGAGTCCTCGAGTTCATGCGGGTCCCGCACGAGGGACGCAGTCTCCAGGGGGCGACAACTCCAGAGCTCGCGTAAAGATGGCATTGCGTGCGACAAGTCCAGAGCTCGCGTAAAGATGGCATCGCGTGCACGCGCCCGTCGACGAGGTCATGCTGATTTTGAGCAGAGCTGCAGGCGACATCAAGTTTGGTTGCCATGGGGCACCTGAGCGTCTGTCAGATCTCGCTATTCGGCAGGCACGCCAGCGCCTGGACAGCAAGCAGTTCAAGCAGAATTGAGAAAAAAGAAGGAGAAAGAGTACGAGAAAGAGAAAGAGTTTTAAAGAGAACCAGAAACAAAAAGAGAAGCGGGCTTGCGAGCTGCTTCCAGGCAACATGGAACAACTTGATCCACGGCGGCTGCGAGACTAGAGCAGTCTTCCACAACAACGTCGGTTGCACAGCTTCTGCGTCAAGCAAGACTCCTGAAATTTATGCCTGGCTCCAGGTCTTCCCTGCTAGTGCGCACGTGACGTACGAGACCCACGACATGCGTGGAAATCCAGCAAATCGAACTCTGAGGCGCAAGGCGCACGGAATCACTAGGGGTTGCTATCCCTGAGACAGTGAAGTTCTGGCTGGTTTCCAAACCTGGCGACACTTACGAGCTGCAAATCCTGCATCTCTTTGATATCGATGTTTTTCCCGTCTCATGGCCGAAGGCATTGAGACCATCTACGACTGCTCTTTTCAGGGTGCCGTTTTGATCCAGCTTTGGAAGAAGGGTTTGCTATACAATGTTGAAAAATATTTCAGCCAAAAGCATAAAAAGCTAAAGCGGATCTTCGGCCAATGTAGCAGCGACACTTTCCCATTACTTGCAAGGCCTGCGAAGCCCCTCCGGCCTCGGGTGGGAATGCTTTGCAGATTAGGACTTAGGATTTAGAGTTATCAAAGCATGTGGTTGTGAATCTGAGGCATGCTGTCATGAGGAAGAACAGCACGATGTTTACTTTGTCGACGGGGCTGCCCATTGCCGTTTGGCCCAGCCAGCGAAGCATACAGATAAGACATGGAGCATTCGTAGATTTCGTGCTTGACACACAGTTCTGCCGGTGCCTCGGTCTTTGTCCCTTTACCGTCCTCCGCGCCGCATACAGCAACAGCTCCCAGAATGCCGTGTCAATAGCCTTAGTCTCTTCTCATGTCAATTGCAATTGCTCCGAGTTGTCACGCCTTGGTTGGGCTAGCTCGGGGAGTGAGGCCTGGGATTGATGGGCCTGGAAGGGAATCCAAGCATGCATGGAAGCTTGCATTTGCAGGGGAGGAGGGCCGTCCGCTGGAAGCGAACAGGGGATCCCTGTAGGCCTCACAGCATTGGCCAAGCCGAGCAAGTTGTCGGCAAGTGCATTGAGCTTCAAATCAACGTCTGTTCAGATCTTCAGGGTTTAGGGTAGCGGAAATCGCGATAACTGCAGACACCCTGTCATACCCGTTAGACTCTGGCAACTCAGGACATCCAACAAGATTTCACTAGGATAAGAAAGTCTGTAACCTTGTCGGAAAGAGAGCTGCATGTCCGACTGTCGGTTGAAGCTGGACGAGTCAGGTGAAGCCATGGCTGGAATGGGCAGGTCGGATTTCAGCTTCCCAAGCCTTGCAGGCTAGCAAAGCGACACATGTGAAGAGGTCGGCCAGCGCTGGCGCGCTTGTCAGTGCTGGCTGCAGACTTAGCCATGCAGGTGCCATTGGCCCTGGGAGTATCCTGCAATTTGTGCCCAGGGGCCGCAATGTCTCACGTGCCGAAGCGTGCTACCCAACACGCCTGCTACCTTGCATCTTGGGAGGCCATCACAGAAAGCCGTGTCTTGAGCATGTGGTACAGTGCAGTGTGCATCAGTGTGCCGTGCAGATGCCTCGTCCGACGCTCAAGCCCGGGCAAGTATCGTCTTCGGCCTAGCTCAACGTGCAAGTGTAGTCACCTTACCAGAGGACCTGCTGCCCAAGGGCTTCGAGAGCGGTCTACTCCGAGGAAGCTCCAGCTCCAAAGACCACGTGCGACCGACTGGAGTCAAATGGTGCCAGTGTGAAAGTGGCCTTCATATGCTCGAGATGGAGAAGACACATTGACATGCCGGCTTCCCGCCAGGAAACTCTTCAGGCTTGTGAGCACTCCTGGCCTTGCTAGACCTAAACCTTGTACCGAAGTGGTTCTGGAGACACAGAACGTCCTCAGTCTCCTCTGCGATCCAGGTACCTGAGCGATGGTCTTCCACCAGAGTCTATGTATCAGAAGTACGGAACTTGGAACTCTGAGTTCGACACCTTTCGGTTGAGTCACGTTGACCAGGACAACGTCTCAGCTTACATCTCCAGAACACTACCAGGTGACGTCTCGTGCCTGCTGTCCTGTGATCGCTCTGACATCCTTCCCTGTCAGAATCCTGTCCAGCCCATTCGGCAGAAAGAGCCCCCGGCAAGTTCTGTTGGGCACAGGCACACGGCGTTGCATGAGAATCAGTTCATAGGCATCAGCGTTTGTTTAGAGTGTGGCAGGGGAGCTGCTCATTGGTCCTCCACCTACAGAACTTCTCACGATGACAACTCCGTGGCTGGTGCTGTCTATCACAGACAGCATGGGCCATCATACCAGGCCGGGGCCGAGTGTGAGAACGGTGGGGAGCCGTCTACCGGTCTACCTCGAGGCAGCAAATCCGCCGACCTGCATTGGAGGTGGGGGAATGATGAGCGGCACGCTCAGAGAATGTGTGAGCGACGGATAGCCACCTACTCACTTCGTACACTTTTCAGGTGCATTCATGGAAGATTTCGGCCTGTACGGCTCGGATCCTCGAAGTAAGGTTGATCCTGCGCTGGACAGGCATCGTTAGGCTTCATAGTCTGCACTCTGCAGAATCAGTGATGCAGAAGGCCAGTGCAGCTCGCAGGACAGAATCCCAGTTGCAAAAACCGCCCTGACGATGGGAACTCCCAAGGCACCGTGATGCTAAGTTAAGCTTCATATCTGCCACGAACTGCATCCCATGGCAGGGAACGCTTCATATCCCTGGGTATCACGGCTTCTTGCCGACAAACATCAGGCTTGCAAGACTATTTGTAGCGAGACCTGTCGTCAGAGGATACTGAGCTTACGCATTCCCTGCGAGGAATCCATATGCTGCTCGCGTGGAAAGCGGTGCCACAATCAGAACCAGCGACAAGTCCAACATTACTCAGCAGTCGGCACCCAACAGTGACAGGGCTTGTGACATGCTGTTCGACTGTTCGACATGCGCCAAGATGAGGTTTCATGTCAACACTCTTCATTATGCGGGCCACGTGCCAGATAATGTCACGAACGAGGTTGGGCTAGCACTTGCTCCGCGAGCCAACAACGTAGCTTGTCATCTGTGAGTTTCTGTGCAGATTGGACGGGTAAAGCCTGGCAACCGCTCCATGATGAGCCGAAGCTTCAAGGCTCGCCGTTGGGCTGCCCATACAATCACCATAGCCATCAGCCACATCCTGAGGTTCCTGACTTGAGGGCATTCGACTGACGGTTTCTGAGAGCATGTTGTTTCCTGTGCCCAAGTTTCCCGGATCACCTCGTCTCACGACCCGGCTCTTTCTCCGAAGGAGGGAGGAGCTAAAGCGGGAACTGCGCAGTGAAGAGCACCTTGCAGCTCTGGCTTAAGTCTTGCTGCACTCGAGGGCAAGCAGAACGCATCACCCCCCCCTTGCTCGCCGTATCTCGCCTCGATTCTTTCAGCTCTGCGGGATCTGTGGGGCGAGGGCTGTGAGTCAGCGACCCAGAAATCCAAGCTCGGATGAGAACGCCCTGAGATGGCCTGCGAATGCTTCAATAAACTCTGAAGATCTCTGAAGTGTGTCCAGTCCGTGTGCGGCTGCTTTTGTGGGGGCTGCCGGGCTTCATTGGACGCATCGACAGCCCTTCTGTGGTCAACAAAATGTCTCTCTGTCTCTCCGTGTGTCTGCCTCTCTGTCTGTCTGGCTGTTTGTCTATGTGTTTGTCTCTCTGTGTGTCTCTCTGCCTGTCTGTCTCTCTGTCTCTCTGTCTCACTGTCTCACTGTCTCTCTGTCTCTCTGTCTCTCTGTCTCTCTGTCTCTCTGTCTCTCTGTCTCTCTGTCTGTCTCTCTTTGTCTGTGTCTCTCTGTCTCTCTGTCTCTCTGTCTGTCTCTCTTTGTCTGTGTCTCTCTGTCTCTCTGTCTCTCTGTCTCTCAGTCTGTCTGTCTCTGTCTGTCTCTCTCTGTCTGTCTCTCTCTGTGTCTCTCTGTCTGTGTCTCTCGGTCCGTCGGTCGGTCGGTCTGTCGGTCCGCCGGTCCGTCGGTCGGTCCGTCCGTCGGTCTGTCGGTCTGTCTGTCTGTTTGTCTGTCTGTCTGTGGGCACACCTTCATTATCCTTCATTTGAAGATCTGCCGAGTTTAGCGAGGGTGGCCCTGTCCACCATAAGTTACATGCCTGAACTGAGGTGATGTCGCATGTCCCAAAAAGGGCCGTGCAGCATTGCTTGTACACGCCCTTGCAGGCCCGTTAGTGCACACTGACACTGTTCAGGTTTCACGGCAGCAGTGTGTTCTCGTCAGCTCTCAAGCCTTTCGAAAGGAAGTGTCGCCGCCTTGCCTAAAGCCTTGCCAGACAAAACTGCGCCGGACTCAGCGACCCGTCTGCTGGACCCACTGGAAGAACTGTACATACAGCAATCCCAAATGATCCCAAACGATTGTGCCGAGGCATCCGTCTGGTCTTTACACGTCGGAAGTGGCCCACAAAGACACCTTACGGCAGCAACCCAAACTGCTGCAGGAGTGAGTCGCTTGGCTTCGGCTCCTGCGAACAGATTTGACGTCCTTGCAGGATACTCAAAAAGAGTCGGAATATGAGAGGCAACAGTGCAGGTCGACCCGTCCTGAGGCGCGGTCGGCGGTCAACTGTCTCACAGCTGATACGCTGTTTCTCGGGTGTGATCTACGCAGGACTACACGGTGTTACGAGAAAGCAGGACCAGACAAAGTAAGTGCGCATCCGGTGCTTACGTTGGCATAGAGCTCGGCCACCAACCAGCGCCCATGCAGGACCATCGAGGACGGCCGGCAGACTGCGCATGAAGCAGAAAGAGGAAGTTGACTCAGTTTTTGCAGATACTTCCCTTAATTGGATGGCAGCATATTTATGCGGACTTCACGCTTGATGGAAGCTGCCTTGTGCGCAAGCTTCAGGTTCGGGGGCACACTGGTCCTCCGAGTATCGCTCCGCCTCTGCCGAAGGCATGTCGAGCAGCAACCTCACTTGGAAGTTTTGACAGAGCTTGCCCGTAGATGGAGTCAGTGCGAGATGCTTTGTTTGCGTTTGTAGGTGGCTGTTAAGATAGATGCATCTCTGCCTTGTAGGAGTGCCGTGCGGGAGTCATGCCAAGTGTCGCGGCTGTAGAATCTGAGGAAGGCCCACCCCACAACTGACTGCACAACAGATCTTGGCCAGTGGCGCACTTGGGCTCATGTGCATTCTCCAGTCTCTCAATCTCATGTGCGTGCTCTCCTTGAGTTGACTTTCCCCCAGGTCGAGTGGTCCCAGCACCACGCAGTTGTGTGAGCAAAGTGCTC